GCATGCGTCCGGACACAAGCATGCGCCGGACACAAGCATGCGTCCGGACACAAGCATGCGTCCGGACACAAGCATGCGTCCGGACACAAGCATGCGTCCGGACACAAGCATGCGACCGGACACAAGCATGCGTCCGGACACAAGCATGCGTCCGGACACAAGCATGCGTCCGGACACAAGCATGCGTCCGGACACAAGCATGCGTCCGGACACAAGCATGCGTCCGGACACAAGCATGCGTCCGGACACAAGCATGCGTCCGGACACAAGCATGCGTCCGGACACAAGCATGCGACCGGACACAAGCATGCGTCCGGACACAAGCATGCGTCCGGACACAAGCATGCGTCCGAACACAAGCATGCGTCCGGACACAAGCATGCGTCCGGACACAAGCATGCGTCCGGACACAAGCATGCGACCGGACACAAGCATGCGACCGGACACAAGCATGCGTCAGGACACAAGCATGCGTCCGGACACAAGCATGCGTCCGGACACAAGCATGCGTCCGGACACAAGCATGCGTCCGGACACAAGCATGCGTCCGGACACAAGCATGCGACCGGACACAAGCATGCGTCCGGACACAAGCATGCGTCCGGACACAAGCATGCGTCCGGACACAAGCATGCGACCGGACACAAGCATGCGTCCGGACACAAGCATGCGTCCGGACACAAGCATGCGTCCGGACACAAGCATGCGTCCGGACACAAGCATGCGACCGGACACAAGCATGCGTCCGGACACAAGCATGCGTCCGGACACAAGCATGCGTCCGGACACAAGCATGCGACCGGACACAAGCATGCGTCCGGACACAAGCATGCGTCCGGACACAAGCATGCGTCCGGACACAAGCATGCGTCCGGACACAAGCATGCGTCCGGACACAAGCATGCGTCCGGACACAAGCATGCGTCCGGACACAAGCATGCGTCCGGACACAAGCGTGCGTCCGGACACAAGCATGCGTCCGGACACAAGCATGCGACCGGACACAAGCATGCGTCCGGACACAAGCATGCGTCCGGACACAAGCATGCGTCCGAACACAAGCATGCGTCCGGACACAAGCATGCGTCCAGACACAAGCATGCGTCCGGACACAAGCATGCGACCGGACACAAGCATGCGACCGGACACAAGCATGCGTCAGGACACAAGCATGCGTCCGGACACAAGCATGCGTCCGGACACAAGCATGCGTCCGTACACAAGCGTGCGTCCGGACACAAGCATGCGTCCGGACACAAGCATGCGACTGGATACAAGCATGCGTCCGGACACAAGCATGCGTCCGGACAGAAGCATGCGTCCGGACACAAGCATGCGACCGGACACAAGCATGCGTCCGGACACAAGCATGCGTCCGGACACAAGCATGCGTCCGGACACAAGCATGCGTCCGGACACAAGCATGCGTCAGGACACAAGCATGCGTCCGGACACAAGCATGCGTCCGGACACAAGCATGCGTCCGGACACAAGCATGCGTCCGGACACAAGCATGCGTCCGGACACAAGCATGCGTACGGACACAAGCATGCGTCCGGACACAAGCATGCGTCCGGACAGAAGCATGCGTCCGGACACAAGCATGCGACCGGACACAAGCATGCGTCCGGACACAAGCATGCGTCCGGACACAAGCATGCGTCCGGACACAAGCATGCGTCCGGACACAAGCATGCGTCAGGACACAAGCATGCGTCCGGACACAAGCATGCGTCCGGACACAAGCATGCGTCCGGACACAAGCATGCGTCCGGACACAAGCATGCGTCCGGACACAAGCATGCGACCGGACACAAGCATGCGTCCGGACACAAGCATGCGTCCGGACACAAGCATGCGTCCGGACACAAGCATGCGTCCGGACACAAGCATGCGTCAGGACACAAGCATGCATCCGGACACAAGCATGCGTCCGGACACAAGCATGCGTCCGGACACAAGCGTGCGTCCGGACACAAGCATGCGTCCGGACACAAAGCATGCGTCCGGACACAAGCATGCGTCCGGACAGAAGCATGCGTCCGGACAGAAGCATGCGTCCGGACAGAAGCATGCGACCGGACACAAGCATGCGTCCGGACACAAGCATGCGTCCGAACACAAGCATGCGTCCGGACACAAGCATGCGTCCGGACACAAGCATGCGTCCGGACACAAGCATGCGTCAGGACACAAGCATGCGTCCGGACACAAGCATGCGTCCGGACACAAGCATGCGACCGGACTCAAGCATGCGGTCGGACACAAGCATGCGACCGGACACAAGCATGCGTCCGGACACAAGCATGCGACCGGACTCAAGCATGCGTCCGGACACAAGCAAGCGTCCGGACACTAGCTTGCGTCCGTACACAAGCATGCGTCCGGACACAAGCATGCGACCGGACACAAGCATGCGTCCGGACACAAGCATGCGTCCGGACACAAGCATGCGACCGGACTCAAGCATGCGTCCGGACACAAGCATGCGTCCGGACACAAGCATGCGTCCGGACACAAGCATGCGTCCGGACACAAGCATGCGTCCGGACTCAAGCATGCGAACCGACTCAAGCATGCGTCCGGACACAAGCATGCGACCGGACACAAGCATGCGTCCGGACACAAGCATGCGTCCGGACACAAGCAGGCGTCCGAACACAAGCATGCGTCCGGACACAAGCATGCGTCCAGACACAAGCATGCGTCCGGACACAAGCATGCGTCCGGACACAAGCATGCGTCCGGACACAAGCATGCGTCCGGACACAAGCATGCGTCCGGACACAAGCATGCGTCCGGACACAAGCATGGCGTCCGGACACAAGCATGCGTCCGGACACGAGCATGCGTCCGGACACGAGCATGCGACCGGACTCAAGCATGCGTCGGGACACAAGCATGCGTCCGGACACAAGCATGCGTCCGGACACAAGCATGCGTCCGGACACAAGCATGCGGACCGGACTCAAGCATGCGTCCGGACACAAGCATGCATCCGGACACAAGCATGCGTCCGGACACGAGCATGCGTCCGGACTCAAGCATGCGTTCAGTCACAAGCATGCGTCCGGACACAAGCATGCGTCCGGGACACAAGCATGCGACCGGACACAAGCATGCGACCGGACACAAGCATGCGTCGGACAAAGCATGCGTCCGGACACAAGCATGGCGTCCGAACACAAGCAATGCGTCCGGACACAAGCATGCGTCCGGACACAAGCATGCGTCCGGACACAAGCATGCGTCCGGAACAAGCATGCGTCCGGACACAAGCATGCGTCCGGACACAAGCATGCGTCCGGGACACAAGCATGCGACCGGACACAAGCATGCGTCCGGACACAAGCATGCGTCCGGACACAAGCATGCGTCCAGACCCAAGCATGCGTCCGGACACAAGCATGCGACCGGACTCAAGCATGCGTCCGGACACAAGCATGCGTCCGGACACAAGCATGTGTCCGGACACAAGCATGCGTCTGGACACAAGCATGCGTCCGGACACAAGCATGCGACCGGACTCAAGCATGCGTCCGGACACAAGCATGCATCTGGACACAAGCATGCGTCCGGACACGAGCATGCGTCCGGACACGAGCATGCGTCCGGACACAAGCATGCGTCCGGACACAAGCATGCGTCCGGACACAAGCATGCGTCCGGACACAAGCATGCGTCCGGACACAAGCTGTCAGATTATTATAGCTGATGCATGTTTGTAGGCTATAGTGGGGTAGCACATATGGGGTACAGTTTGCTAGGGTTGTATTTGTACCCAACTCTGACTTAGTCAATCCATTCCTGTTCAGTTAGTTTCACATGGTATCAGAGCAGGTCCCTCCTAAGGACCGTTCTTTGGGCCCACCCACGATTTTTTTCCTGCCCGGAGCGCGCCCTATTCTCCCCGAGGCGCGCTCCCCCTAGTGCGCGTCGAGCTGCCCTTGTGGCGCCCCGAGAGTCGCGCGCGCGACTCATTTTTTTTTTCGCGCGCGCGGTTCAGGCCCCACTTCGCGCGGCCCTTACAGCCGCGCCGCGCCGCCCTCTCGGCTCTGCCGCGCCGCGCCGCCCTCAAGACGGCCGCGCGGCCTCTTCGTCGCTGCAGCAGGCCCCCCCCCCCCGCTGCACCTCTGTCGGCCCCGCAGCCGCCTTACCTGACGGCCGCCGCCTCACCTGACGACCCGCCGCCTCAACTTCTGGCCCGCCACCTCACCAGACGGCCCCCCCGCCTCACCTGACGGCCCACCGTCTCACCTGCTGGCCCGCCACCTTACCTGACGGCCCCGCCGCCTCACCTGACGGCCCGCCGCCACCTTACCTGACGGCCCCGCCGCCTCACCTGACGGCCCGCCGCCTCACCTACTGGCCCGCCACCTGACCTGATGGCCCCGCCGCCTCACCTGACGGCCCGCCGCCTAACCTGCTGGCCCGCCACCTCACCTGACGGCCCGCCGCCTCACCCGCTGGCCCGCCACCTGACCTGACGGCCCCGCCGCCTCACCTGCTGGCCCGCCACCTGACCTGAGGGCCCCGCCGCCTCACCTGACGGCTCCGCCGTCCCCTGTCCCGGCCCCGCCGCTGCACCCTGACGGCCCCGCCGTCCCCTGTCCCGGCCCCGCAGCTGCACCCTGACGGCCCCGCCGAGCCGCCCAGCAGCAGCCGAGCCGCCCAGCAGCAGCCGAGCCGCCCAGCAGCAGCCGAACCGCCCAGCAGCAGCCGAGCCGCCCAGCAGCAGCCGAGCCGCCCGGTACCTGAGCCGCCCGAGCCGCCCGAGCCGCCCGAGCCGCCCGAGTCGCCCGAGCCGCCCGAGCCGCCCGAGCCGCCCGAGCAGCCCGAGCCGCCTGCTGCTGACCTACCCGACTCTCCCATCCCGGTGAGACTTTCAGCTGCTGCCATGGCCACCCCCAATGTTCTCACTTTTGACGCTGAGGGGAGGGCCATTGACTTTGCCGTCTGGATCGAGGACCTGCAGCTGTACTTACTGTGTGATGCGGTAGATGAGGTCTCTCTCTTTGACTTTGTCTCTGGCGCTGTCCCTGCCCCGCCTGCTGATGCTGACTCTGCCGTTCGCTCCAAGTGGGCGACCCGCGATGCTGCTGCACGTCTTGCTGTGCGTCGCCACCTCCCTTCCTCTGAGCGTGCCCACTTTAGTCAGTGCAAGACCGCTCAGGCCTTGTACGACGCTGTAGTTGCGCGCTACTCCTCCCCTTCCTCCGCTACCCTTAGCCACCTCCGCGCTAGTGACACCCGCTACCGCGCTGCCCTTCCTGCTGAGTTCCGCGCTGCGAACCCTCCTCCCATGTACATCACTCTCTACTTTCTCGTCACCCGTCTCCCTGAGTCCCTTCGTGTCGTTAGGGACCAGTTTCTCTCTGTCTGTCCCACCACTCTCACTGTCGACCTCCTTGAGGAGTCCCTGCTAGCGGCTGAGAAGAGTATTGTCGCTGTAGGGGCCTCTCGGGGTGACCCTCGCACCCCCATCTCTGAGGGGTGTGGTCCCTCCCCCCTGCTGCCCTCTGTCGCCTCTGCCGCTGCGGCCGACCTCGTTGGTTTTGAGTCGGTCGGCGCGGCGTCTGCCCCCAGTGGCAGACGCCGCACTGGCAAGGGCAAGGGGGGCAAGGGAGCGGGTGGAGCCAGAGGGGGCGGTGGAGGAGGCGGTGGGGGTGGAGGGGGGAGTGGGGGTGGCGGGGGGGGTGGTGGCGGGAGTGGAGGTAGTAGTGGCGGCGGTGGAGGCGGAGGTGGCGGCGGAGGTGGTAGCGGAGGAGGCGGTGGGAGCGGTGGGAGCGACGGTCCTGGTGGGGGAGGTGGCGGTGGCGACGGGGGTGGCGGTGGAGGCGGGGGTGGCGGTGGAGGAGGGGGTCGGAGTGGCTCGTCCCAGCGGAGCAGCTCTGGGGGTGGTCAGCGCCAGCAGCAGCAGCAGCAGTAGCCGCAGCAGCAGCCGCAGCAGCAGCAGCGCTCTCGCACCGTCCCCGGCCCTCAGCAGCTCCGTGAGTGGTACTTGCAGCGTCAGCGCGGTGGTGCGCTTGGTCCCTGCCCCCACGTTCTTCGCACTGGTGACCGTGCAGGGGAGAGGTGTGGAGGCGCCCACACAGCCCGTCGCTGCTTTGGCCGCCTGACCGACGCCTGGCGTCAGCAGTTTCCGGAGGCCGCTGAGATCCCCCGCTGGGGAGAGCTGTCTAGGGCTGGTGTAGCTATTTATGATCTTGATTTTGATGCTATTCTCTCTGCTATGTATGCTGTGACTGGTAGTGATGAGGATGACTGTTACCGGTGTTTCCCGCCCGACCCGGGCATTGGTACTGCCGCGTCAGGTACTAGTGAGGCTGCTGCTCTAGGTGCCAGTGCGTCTGTGCTTTCAGGTACTGGTGAGTCCGCCCTCTCAGGTACTGTGTCGGCTTCGGCCTCTCACACCTTCACCCTTGACTCTGGAGCGTCTCGCTCCTTCTTTAGGGACCGCACCACTCTCACGCCGCTGAGTCGGCCTGTTGCGGTGTCCCTGGCGGACCCCTCTGGGGGGCCTGTCCTGTCTCGCTTCTCCACTGTCCTCCCGTGTCCGGCGGCCCCCTCTGGCACCCTGACTGGTCTCTACCTCCCCTCGTTCTCGACAAACTTGGTGAGTGGTGCTGACCTCCAGGATGCAGGTGTCCACCAGTTCACCCCTGCTCGTCAGCGGGTGACCCACTGTACGGAGGCGGATACAGGTCGCCACCTGGCTACGTTTACACGTCGGCCGGGGTCGAGCCTGTACACACTGACCACTGCTTCTCCTCCAGGTACTGCGTCTGGTAGGGCCCCTTCGTCTGGTCAGGTGTTTGCTGCAGCGTCCAGGTCTGGTCCTGAGTCTACCCCTTGTTCGTGTCGTCGTCTGTCTCACGAGACCCTCCTCTGGCACCACCGCCTTGGCCACCCCTCTCTGCTTCGGCTCAGAGGCATGGCCTCGCGGGTCCTTGTGTCTGGTCTTCCCCGGTCCCTCCCTCCCCTTCCTCCGGGCCCTGGCCCTGCCTGTGTCCCCTGTGTCGAGGGGCGCCAGCGTGCTGCCCCTCACTCCTCCCAGTTTCCTCCGACAGAGGCCCCGTTGCAGACGCTTCACATGGACGTGTGGGGCCCAGCCCGCGTCCGTGGACAGGGTCAGGAGCGCTACTTCCTGCTGGTGGTTGACGACTACTCGCGTTACACCACAGTCTTCCCCTTGCGCAGCAAGGGTGAGGTCACTCAGGTGTTGATCGACTGGATCCGCGCAGCTCGTCTTCAGCTTCGGAGAAGCTTTGGCTCTGACTTCCCTGTCTTGCGTCTGCACTCGGACAGAGGCGGAGAGTTCTCCTCGGCCCTCCTGAGTGCCTACTGTCGTGTGCGAGGCATCCGTCAGACCTTCACGCTTCCGGACTCACCACAGCAGAATGGGATCGCTGAGCGCCGCATTGGCATGGTCATGGACGTCGCTCGTACGTCCATGATGCATGCGGCTGCTCCCCATTTTCTGTGGCCGTTTGCGGTCAGGTACGCTGCGCACCAGATCAACCTCCACCCCAGGGTCTCTCGACCGGAGACCTCCCCAGCTCTGTTGTGGACGGGGAAGGTTGGCGATGCGTCGGCGTTCCGGGTCTGGGGATCTCGGGCGTTTGTTCGCGACCTGTCTGCGGACAAGCTGTCCCCTCGTGCTTCTCCCTGCGTCTTCCTCGGGTTCCCCCCCGACGCCCCTGGGTGGCAGTTTTACCACCCCACCTCTCGACGTGTTCTGTCCTCCCAGGACGTCACGTTCGACGAGTCGGTACCCTACTACCGCCTCTTCCCCTACCGCACTCCGTCCCTCCCCCCACCCCCGCTCTTCTTGGTACCAGGTCCCCCCCCAGTAGTCCCCCTCCCCCCTCAGGGTCCTGCCCCTTCAGGTGTGTCTCAGGTAGACGCGGTCGAGCCTGTCGAGGTCACTGGTGACTCCGGTGCTGCTGCGGGAGCTGAGCCTGGGGGTGCGGAGTCTAGGGGTGCTGAGCCTGGGGGTGCTGAGCCTGGGGGTGCAGAGTCTGGGGGTGCTGGGCCTGGGGGTGCTGAGCCTGAGGGTGCTGTGCCTGGGGGTGCTGAGCCTGGGGGTACTGTGCCTGGGGGTGCTGTGTCTGGGGGCACTGAGCCTGGGGGTGCTGAGCCTGGAGGTGCTGTGCCTGGGGGTGCTTCGTCTCGCCGGGAGCCGCTCTCTCCACAGGAGCTGCGTGAGTGGTTTGCCCGGCGCTGGAGGCGTGCCGCTGGTGCTGGTGGTTCTTCAGCTGCGGAGGGCGCTGCTGCCACGCGACCTGGCGGTGCTCGTCCTGTGGGTGCTGGAGCTACTGGGTCTGAGGGTTCTCCTGGAGCTGGTCCTGCTGAGGACGTTGGCGCTGAGCCTGCGGTTGGTGGTCCGACTGACGGTGCTCCTGGTGCTGCTGCTGGAGGTTCGGGAGCTTCTGGTGGTTCTGCTGGAGGTGCTGCTGGAGTGGGTGCTCCTGCCGGGGGTGCTGGTGCTGTTCCTGCTGTTTCTGGCGTCGCCGCGCGGCCCCGACCGTACTTCGTTCCGCTCCTGCAGCAGGTTCTTGGTCTTACACCTCCTCCTCCTCCCTTAGAGGGTCCGCAGCCTGTCCGGTCACAGCCACAGCTACAGCCTGCCTCCCCTTTGCCTGCTCCTTCTCCCTACGCTGGTCCGACTGGAGGTCTTACTGAGCGTCGTGAGCCTGCGTCTCGTCCTGCGTCGCCTGTTCGTACTGAGCGCGCTAGTGGTCGCGGGTCGCGTCAGCGTCCTCCTCCTGTCCCTGGCACGCACCGGATGTCACTGCGTCCGTCCACTGCTCCTCTGCGTGCCCCTTTGCCTTCTCCTCCTGCTTCCTCTCTTCCTGCTCTTGCCGACCCGGAGTCGGACTCTCTTCGTGCTGCCAGTCCTACTGTCACGCGTCTCCTTGCTACTGCTGTCACTGACCCTTCCTTCGAGTCGTCTGCTGCGTCTGCCCTTGTCACTGAGCTTGTCGACTTTGCTGCGCGCTGTCGTCTAGACTACGCTGCTCGTCTTGTCGCTGAGTCTGAGTCCGCCTGTCCTCCGTCCGTCGGGGGTGAGTGTGCCCTTGGCACGGACGTCCTAGAGGACAGGCAGGAGGAGTTCCAGTGTCTAGCCGCTGCTTCACCTCGTCTCGCGTCTGTACTGCTAGCCCCTGAGGGAGACCCGGATGCACTAGACATCCCGACTCCGCGCTCTTACGCGGAGGCCGTAGAGGGTCCCTACTCCTCTCAGTGGCAGGCAGCTATGGATGCAGAGATGGCTTCCTGGAAGTCCACAGGCACCTACGTTGACGCGGTTCCCCCTCCTGGGGCGAACATCGTCAGTGGCATGTGGATCTTCAGGGTGAAGCGGCCGCCGGGCTCGCCGCCTGTCTTCAAGGCGCGTTACGTGGCTCGTGGCTTCAGTCAGCGGCAGGGAGTTGACTACTTTCAGACCTTCTCTCCCACCCCGAAGATGACCACTCTTCGGGTGCTGCTGCACATTGCCGCTCAGCGCGACTACGAGCTTCACTCTCTCGACTTCAGCACTGCGTTCCTGCAGGGTAGCCTGCACGAGGAGATCTGGCTGCGCCGTCCGCCTGGCTTCACTGGGACTTTCCCTCCTGGCACCCAGTGGAGCCTCCGACGGCCAGTCTACGGTCTCCGCCAGGCACCGCGTGAGTGGCACGACACACTGAGGACTACGCTTGCGGCTCTTGGGTTTGCTCCTTCTACTGCTGACCCGTCGCTGTTTCTTCGCACCGACACTTCCCTGCCGCCGTTCTACATCCTCGTGTACGTCGACGACTTGGTCTTTGCCACAGCGGACACTGCTGGACTCGCCTACGTGAAGTCCGAGCTGCTGAAGAGACACACGTGCACAGACCTGGGTGAACTGCGCAGCTACCTTGGCTTGCAGATCACTCGGGACAGAGCACGCCGCACCATTACCCTGACTCAGTCACACATGGTGCAGCAGGTCCTTCAGCGCTTCGGCTTCACGTACTCCTCGCCTCAGGCCACTCCTCTGCCTACTCGCCACTCACTCTCAGCTCTGCCTTCGGATGAGTCCGTAGAGTCGAGTGGTCCGTATGCAGAGCTTGTTGGCTGCCTCATGTACCTGATGACCTGCACACGACCTGACCTTGCATACCCTCTGAGCATCCTTGCACGCTATGTTGCTCCTGGGAGACACCGACCAGAGCACATGGCTGCAGCGAAGAGGGTATTGCGCTACCTGTGCAGTACGTCGGGCATGGGGCTAGTGCTTGGAGGGCGGAGTCCAGTGGTCCTTACTGGGCACGCAGACGCTTCTTGGGCTGACGACCAGGCTACGCAGCGGTCGTCACAGGGTTACACCTTCAGCCTTGGTTCCAGCTCTGTCTCGTGGCGGTCTACTCGCTCGTCTTCGGTTCTCGGCTCCAGTTGTGAGGCTGAGATCTACGCCGGGGCCATGGCTGCACAGGAGCTTCGCTGGCTCACCTACCTGCTGACTGACCTTGGAGAGCTGCCTCGTTCTCCTCCAGTGCTGTACGTAGACAACAAGGCCATGTTGGCCTTGTGTCGAGAGCAGCGCTTGGAGCACAGAACGAAGCACATTGCTCTCCGCTACTTCCTTGCTCGTGAGCTGCAGCAGCGTGGTCAGTTGCGACTTGCTTACGTGGCCTCTGAGGCCAACACTGCTGATGTGTTCACCAAGGTACTTGCGCCTTGCGACCATCAGCGCTTTTGTACCCAGCTGGGTCTTGTACCTGTCTTGCCTCACTTGCTCTCTTCTTGACTTTACTTGTACTTTGACATATATATACCTGCTCTTGCTTGTCTAGTTTTATATATATGTCTGTACTCCTGCATGTGAACTGGCCTCTGGCCTTGCTCTTGTGCTCGGACTGTGTGGTGACTTTGTGATCCACCCTGAGCTTGCTTTGCTTTGCT